GACATGGCCCCAGAGCTGAGCCCGACCAGGGGGGGGGCTTGGAGCCCCTCGCCCACCTTCCTGATGCAGACGATGCACCAGACCCTGCCCAGCCCCTTCCTCGGGCAGCCAGTGCTCCTCCATGGGGCCTTCCTCTGCATCATCATCCTCCTCCTCCTCCTCGCTGTCCCCATCCTCTGCTGAGCTGTCCTGGGCTGGCACCGCCGCGGTGCCCGCTGCACCCTGTGGGGACCAGGGGTGTGTGGGTGCCTGTGATGGGGCAGCACCCCCTGGGGACAGCCAGGGTCCCCCCCCTCCCCCAGACCCCCCCGGTACCTGCCCGGGACCGTGGCTCTTCCTCCGGCGTTTCTTGTAGAGCTCCTTACGCTCCGACACCAGCCCCAGCCCCAGCAGCTTCTCCACCACGCGAGCCCGCGACCGCCGCGCCGTCAGGTGCTTCATGATGTTCCCCAGGACGTCTGCGGGGAGGGAGGGGGGTAAATCAGGGTGTGGGGGAGCTTTGGGGGGGCTGCCTACACCCCTCCCCTCCCCCCCAGAGCCCACTTCATCCCCACTCACCATCCGAGCCGTGGAACTCCTCGAAGAGCCGCGTCAGCTCCTCCTCCTGCTCCTGCGTCCACAGCACGATGCGGGTGCCCTTCCTGGAGGGGGCACGGCCATCGGTCCCTGCCCGGGGACGAGGTGGCCGTCCCAGCCTGGGGGTGCCATGGGGGGGGTCCCCAACCCACCTCTCCCTCGGGAAGTCCCTGGCACTGGTGGCCAGTCCCAGCCGCACCAGCTGCTTCACCACCTGCCTCCGCGTCCGCCCCGGGAGATGGGCCAGGATGGCGGCCACCACGTCCTCGCCTAGGGGAGGAGTGGAAGAGGCTGTTGGGGGGGGGAAACCCCCGCCACCGCACCCCCTGGGGGTCCCCTGCTGCCCCCCACCCCAGGGAACCCCAGTACCTTCCACCTCCTTGTACTTCCAGTACAGCTCCCGCAGCTCCTGCTCCTCCTGGGGGGTCCAGGGGGGAGGCCTTCTCCTGCCAGCCCTGGGCAGAGGGGAGGGGAGGTGAGGGAGGGCTAGAGGCAAGGGGAGGGTGGCAGCCCCCTCCCCAGCCCCATTCACTCACCCCTCTCCCTCCCCCAGGGAGCCGTAGCCCTCGGTCATCTCCCGAACGGCCGCCGGGCTCTTCCAGAAGAGCAGCTCCACAAAAGCCTTCTTGTTGGTGGCCGCCAGCGCAAAGAACTTGCCCAGGATGAACTTGGCCAAAGCCACCAGCTCCTGCGGGTGGAGGAAGGGAGAGTGGGGCTTGGGGGACACACACACAGGACAGACCCCTCTGGGGGGATTTGTGGGGGGAGCCGGGCCCCGTCTGACCTGGTGTGCGCCGGCGGCGGGGTCGCTGAGGAGGCGGTGGAATAGGGAGAAGAGGGAGAGCTGGAAGAGCATGGCCTCCATGCGCAGGTCGCGGGCCAGGCGGTGCAGCAGGCGGGCGGCGCAGTGGTTGGTGCGGGGGGTGTTGCGGGCGTAACCCCGCAGCAGCAGCACCAGCGCCCGCACCACCGGGGCGCAGGCAAACCTGTCCCGGCAGCCCCCGGTGAGCGGTGGCCACCCCAGACACCCCCCCTTGTCCCATGTTGGTGGCCACCCCAGACATCCCCCCTCTTAGAATCATAGAATGGTCCAGGTTGGAAGAGACCCTTGGGATCATCGAGTCCAACCATCTCCCCTACTCTACAAAGTCCTCCCCTACACCATGGCCCTCAGCACTGCATCTAAACGGCCCTTCAACACAGCCAGGGATGGGGACTCCACCCCCTCCCTGGGCAGCCTCTTCCAACGCCCGACCACTCTTTGGGTGAAAAAGTCCTTCCTAATGTTCAATCTAAACCTCCCCTGTTGGAGCTTGAAGCCGTTCCCTCTCCTTCTGTCACTAATGACCTGGGAGAAGAGACCAGCACCAACCTCTCTACAGTGTCCTTTCAAGTAGTTGTAGAGAGTGATGAGGTCTCCCCTCAGCCTCTTCTTCCTCACACTAAACAGTTCCAGCTCTTTCAATCACTCTTCATAAGATTTTATTCTCCAGCCCCCTCACCAGCTTCGTTGCCCTCCTCTGCACTCGCTCCAGCACCTCCAGATCTCTCTTGGATTGAGGTGCCCAAAACTGGACACAACACTCGAGCTGTGGCCTCCCCAGTGCTGAGCACAGGGGCACAATCACCTCCCTCCTGCTGCTGCTCACACTATTTTTGATACAAGCCAGGATGCCGTTGGCTTTCTTGCCCCCCTGGGCACACTGTGGCTCATATTCAGCCCTTTGGCAACTCGAACCCCCAGGTCTCTTTCCTCCAGGCAGCTCCAGCCACACTTCCCCCAGCCTGTAGCGCTGCAGGGGGTTGGTGTGGCCCAAGTGCAGGACCTGGCACTTGCCCTTGGTGAAACTCATTAGCCCAGTGATCCAATCTATCTAGATCCTCTTGCAAAGCTTCCCTCTCCTCCTGGGAGTCACCACTCCTGCTTAACTTGGTGTCATCTGCCAGCTTGCTGATGTTCCACCTTATGTCCTTATCGAGATCATCAATAAAGATGATCTCTTGTCCCGTGTTGGTGGCCACCCCAGACACCTCCCCAACTCATCCTGTGTCCCCCCCCTCACCGTTTCAGGTAGTCGAGGAAGTTGAACTCCTTCTCTGACACCTGCATGGTCTCTACCTCCTCTTCCTCCTCCTCCTCTTCCTCCTCCTCCAGCTCCTCGGCCTCGGGGGGGACGTGCCCTATGGTGGGACGGTGGTGAGGACCAGGAGCACCGTGGCGCAGATCCCACCGCTCCCGGTGCCGGCCGGGGGACTCACGGGGCAGGGGGGCGAAGAGGATCTCCCTCAGCAGCCGGGTCTCCTCGGGGGGCCCCGCGTCGGCGGCTCCGAACACGTCCCCTTCGGGCCAGACGTCCCTTGGGGAGAGGGGGGACAGGCTGGTACCGTGTCCCCACACCCCTGCCCGGGTGCGGGACCGGGACTGCGGGACGGGGAGTGCGGTGCCGGTACCTGGCGGAGCGGAGGAGCTGCAGGGCCTGTGGGGCCCGGGCGTCCCGCAGGCACCCCTGGATCCGCAGCAGGGCCTCCGCGCGCTGCTCCTCCACCGGCGTCTCCAAGGCGGCGTCAAAGGGCACCACGTCCTCAGGGAGAGGCACCTCGCCCTGGGGTGGGACACTGTTACCCACCAGGACACCCTGGTACCCCCCCAAAGGGCTGGATCTCCCCCCCCCTTACCTGCAGGCAGGCCTGGAGCTGGGGATCCAACGCTGCCCACAGCTCCTCCAGCTCCTCGGCGCTGGGCGGCTGCGGGGCCAGGGCTGCGGGTGCCTTCTTCCTCTTCTTCCTCTGCACACGCTTGCTCTGGGGGAGCAAGGATGGTGTCAAGAGAGATTGTTGGGTGGAGATTGGCTGGAGAGCAGCCCTGAGGAGAAGGACTTGGGAGGGTTTATGGACAAGAAGCTCAACACGAGCCGGCAGCGCGCGCTGGCAGCCCAGAGAGCCCACCCAAGATGAGACAACACATCCCGTCCCCTCGTGTTAAATTGTTGACACGTGGGCATTTGGGCAGATTTTTCCCCGATTTTCCCCTTTTCTTTCTGAAGGTTCCTATCTAAAGGTTTCAGGGAGTCACTTGAGGATATCAATTTTAGGATCAGAGAATCGTCAAGGTTGGAAGGGACCATTAAGATCGCGGAGTCCAACCACCAACCCAGCCCTGCCCAAACCCCCCACGTCCCTCAGCACCGCGTCCGCCCGGCCCTTAAACACCTCCAGGGACGGGGGACTCCATCCCTGCCCCCTCCAATGCTGAAAAACCCTTTCAGGGGGGAAGAAATTGCCTGGGACGTGGCAACCCCAGGCACAAATCCAGGTTGGGTGGAGATGATGGGCTGGAGAGCAGCCCTGAGGAGAAGGACTTGGGGGTGCTCTGCACTCGTGAGACCCCACCTGGAATAACTGTGTCCAGCTTTGGAGTCCTCAGCACAGAAAGGACATGGACTGGCTGGAAAAGGTGGGCCACGAAGATGATGAGAGGGATGGAGCACCTCTGCTATGAAGACAGGCTGAGGGAGCTGGGGTTGGAATGGGCTGCCCAGGGAGGGGGTTGAGGCCCCATCCCTGGAGGTGTTCAAAAGCCGGGTTGATGTAGTGCTGGGAGGTCTGGTTTAGTGATGATGCTCCTTGTTTGTTGTGGGGGTGTCTATTTTTGTCAAAATGAGGTTGACGGTTGGACAAGATGATCTTGAAGGTCCCTTCCAACCTAGAAGATTCTGGGATTCTGTGATTGTTCAGCCTGGAGAAGAGGAGGCTCCGGGGAGACCTTAGAGCGGCCTTTCAATACCTGAAGGTGCCTATAGAAGAGCTGGGGAGGGACTCTTTGCCAGGAAGGGTAACGATAGGACAAGGGGAAACGGTTTTAAATTGGAAGAAAAAAGATTCAGATTAGATATCGGAAAGAAATTTTTGACTCTGAGGGTGGTGAGACACTGGCCCAGGTTGCTCAGGGAAGCTGTGGCTGCCCCATCCCTGGAGGGGTTCAAGGCCAGGCTGGATGGGGCCTTGAGCAACCTGCTCTGGTGGGAGGTGTCCCTGCCCAGGGCAGGGGGGTTGAAACTCCATGATCTTTGAGGTCCCTTCCAACCCAAACCATTCTATGATTTTAGGAGGGGGTGGCTGTGTCCCCACCTGCACCACGAGGTTGGCGCGGCCCCGGCAGAAGCGCTCCAGCATGCGGAGGAAGAGGTGGGCCGTCTCCACCAGGTCCCTCAAGAAGCTGCGGGGCTGCTTGGTCTCATCGAACTTGCGGAAGAGAGCGAGGAAGAGCTCCCGGTACTCCATCAGGTAGAAGATGTTGCCTGGGGAAGAAGGGGGGGTCACCAGCCAAGGGAGAGGGGGAAACTGAGGTGGGACACAGAATCTTAGTGGTTGGAAGGGACCTCTGAGATCATCGAGTCCAACCACAAAAAAACCCCAAAACACCAAACAAATACAAAACACACCACACCAAACGCCCACCAAAAACACCGCACCCACCAACTAAACCCCACACTCAACACCTCACCATAAACCAATAACCTTGGGCACTAGAGCAGGCCCTGAAGAGCCATGTCTATACGTTTCTTCAATCCCTCCAGGGATGGTGACTCCACCACCTCCCTGGGCAGGCTGTTCCAGGGCCTGACCACCCTCTCAGTAAAGTAGTTCTTTCTAATATCTCATCTAAATCTCCCCTGCCCCAACTTCAGACCATTTCCTCTGGTCTTGTCGTTCGTCCTTTGGGAGAAGAGGCCAACACCTGCCTCTCTCCACCCTCCTTTCAGGGAGTTGTAGAGGGCAATGAGGTCTCCCTTCAGCCTCCTCTTCTCCAAACTAAACATGCCCAGTTCCCTCAGCCTCTTGTTCTCCACGTCTCCCCCTCCTCAGGGTTGGGCAGAGGGATGGATGGATGGACTCACTCTTGATGACCTGGCTGCTGTCCCTCACCGCCTGCTCCGGGGACCGGTCCATCTCCTGCACCGTCCGCAGCAGCTCCTGGTACGCCTTCAGGGCGAGGTGCATCCTGGGGACAAGGCAGCGTCAGGGCAGGGACCCTCCTCTCCAACCCAGGTGGGAGGTCAGGATGGGGGTCCCAAGGCACCCACCGGCGGGCCCAGGTCGCCGCCTCCTTCTTGTCCATCAGGGCCATCTCGTAGTAGGTGGTGAGGTTCTGCTCGATGAAGTGGAAGGCGCGGACGCCCACCGTCTCCGACACCAGCTCCGGGCGGAAGCCCCGGCGGCGGTTGAAGGCCATGAAGAAGGAGGTGGCCCACAGGTAGTAGGTCTCATCGTGCTGCTGAGCCTTCTCCCTCACCAGCTGGTCCT